TTTCTTGTCTTTTATTGGTACTGGCCCAGTGGTAGACAGATCCTACACTAATTGGACTATAGGTCTGATCTTGCAGGAGTCCCGTGTTATATTTGTCAGCTACCTTGTAGGCTTGGCTGATGACTGAGTAATCACCACCTACTACAGCTGAGGCATGGTCAATGACCATATACGCACATTTATTCCTCTGAAAAACTGAGATAAGATGGCTTACCTTAAAATGTAAAGCAAGTCCCGAAAGAGGTTTTTTAAATAGTTAACAAGGAATAGTGTTAATAGAGTTCACTGCTAATAGTAAAAAAAGAAAAGACTCTCAAATGACAAAAAGGGCGTGCTTTCGAATTTCTAATTTGCCAATAGTTTGTAAAATGTTTTTGGTAGAATTTTCCTTTTGTTTTCTTGGATTAATAATGGCAAAAAAAATACATAAATTTGCCCGCATCTTTCACTTAAAGTATGATACGTGAGATGAACAAAATGGATTTAGTGTAAGTGCAGATATCATGGGTGTACACTACCGTAACAGCGTTGCTTCCTGACAATTCATTCCAGCTGTGAATGACAGTGCAGTTTACAGCCTGAAGTAAATAGTTAACGTAGGCATAGATCACAGGCAAATTTTGTTGAGGTTTGTGGGAAGTAGTTGCCTCAAAATTCAATTTTTTTTTTCTAGAAAATGTGACTCTATTTTGTATGCAGCCTCTCCTGATAGGCTGGTATTTCTAATGAAGGGAATGCTTACTATTTTATATTTGTTTGTGTCTTATCCTCTATAGGTAAATATGTCTAGAAGGAAATTCTTGGTTAAATAAAGTTCTAACAGTGAAAAGTGGGACTGAAAGGGACTAAAAAAGCAAAGGAAGTACACACAGAGAACACCACTTGTACTATTTCTTTGATTTCTGTAGAGGATTAAGCCCCAAGGCCCACTGTATCGGTGCTATTCTGTGAAAAATTGCCTTGTATTTCAGACCTTGAAATACACTGCCTTATTTCATTTGGAGAGGGGAACCTTTTCTTACTGACTCTGCCATAACTCCACTGTTTTTCAGGAAGGTCAAATGCAACATGCCTTTGCTATGGTTCTTTCTTTCTATATACTCCTTTTGACCTTTTTGACGATCTTTGCAGTGCTGGACAGCAGTTATGATGTCAAACTCCTAAAACCTGCATCCGCAAGGTGATATGATTGTTTTGCATGTGCAAGCAACCCCAAAGGACACATCTGTCCATTTGCACGTACAGGTATGGGACGAGTCTGCAAACTGAGACAGCCATCGGGAACCTAAAGATCTTGTACAGGCTTTAGAAGCCTAAAAAACGTATACATTTGTTATTGAAAGGGAGAGAAAATAACAGCCCACCCGTAGCAGCAAATAGCTCTCTTGTACCTTTGACAGGAGATATGTTTCAGAAATGTGACAGAACATTTAATTTCTATAATACATGACAAGAACAAATTGTCCCATTTCATATCCATTTTTTTAAGGTTTTCATTGGAGTAGTGGAGAGGAAAGAACTGTTTTTCCTTTAAACTTGACTTAGAGGAGGAGTGTTTAACTTAGCAGCTAGTCTGGTAAATCAGCTATTTGCATAACCTTATGAAAGAGGTACAGTCCCTTGATGGTATTTAAAAATCACCTCTTCGCCCAGGACACAAAAAATTGCCAGCTAGAGGATGCAGCCTTGTTCTGTTACGTCAAATAGAAATTTTGCCCTAGACTTTAGTAGAAGCAATGCTAGATCCTATATAAAAGTTTGGGGTGACTTTGACCTGTTTTCCTATTAAAAATTCAATTCCCATTAGTAAAAATGATGTTAAAAAATATTAGCCCTCTCTGGGGAACTGTTGCATCATTCTCTTTTCATTTTACCTACTGGCAGCAGTCATGCTGCAGCATGTAACATCCTACTAAAATGTAAGGTCTGGAAAAGAAAAGTGCATCTGTGCCACAACAACACAATGTCTCCAGAGCATTCGGCCGGCAAAGGTCCAGGTCCCTCATAGATATGTCCTGACTGATCGAGCTATAGCAGCTTGAACTGACCAAGGAGGAAATCTCTCGGTGGCCCAGCACAGCCTCTATTTGACGGTTAACCCAAAATGTCGGTCAGGAATTGGGGTAGCTGAGGTGTAGCTGGTGATCTCCACTAAAGAGCCAGCTGTCTGGCAGGTATCTGGAGGCAATAAAATCTTAAATCCCTGAAATAACATTCGTCAGAGGAACTGCCCGAGCATGAGGACAGCTAAACAAAAGCTCTACTTCAATAATAAGATTATTTCAGAATAAAGTATTCCACTTATTGGCACCTATACAGTATTCTAACTTTATTTGCTGAGACCAGCATAATTCCTATGGAACTACGTCTATTTAAATTTTACTGAGCTTTCTGATAATTACTTGGAGACAACATGCCATAAAATTGTGTAGTTGAAAGAATAGTTGGATTATTTCAGCAGTTTTTGCTTTGCTTGTAGGTAATGGTATGAAAACAGACTCCACCATTTTTATTTTAAATTATCTGACCAGTTTGGAATTGCATTGCAATTTACACCACCTAAGAGCAGGATAGGCTGCATTTGTCCTATTTAAATATAATTTTTGCTTCTCCACAGACATGCCTTAATGTACTTTATAGCGTGCACTTTGCACAATTTCAATTGCTTTTTCTTTCTTAGGAGTATTCCTGCTACTTTTAGACAGGCTGCTAGTGGTAACTCTTGCTCCTTTTTATTCATGAAATTCAGCATCACACAGAGGAGCACAGCTTTTTCCCTGGCTTACTCAAATTGTCTCATTACGTTTGTGGTCTCAAGTAGGATTAGGAGCATTAGTCCATATGGTAGTTCTTTACAACATTACAGAGACCTAAAAATGCATATTATGCAGAATACCTGACTGACAAGAATTTAATATTCAAATTCTTTTTCTTTTTGTTCTTTAGGGTGCTAAGTGGAACACTTAGTAAGTATAGAGAAGGCGTATTAATGCAGTGCTTTTTACATTCGCTCAGCTTTATTCTTTTTCTTTCTTTGCTTAGCTTCTACTGTTAGCATGAGAAATCTAGTGTTTTATTACAGCAATCAAAATGCTTACACTTATAAAACTAGGAAATTGTCTTAATGAATCAAAAGTTGAGGATAGAAAGTAAAGGTAGTCAGAAAGGATAGCTA